CCCCCCCCGTTCCCCACTACCAACCCCTGACCCCGGTTTCACTGTGTATTCGCTCTCGTTCCTCCTTGCTCCGATGACCCTGGCAGCTCGGAAGGCTTCGACACTGCATATGCGAGGCCTGGCACGGCTTGGGCATCCCCTCTTCCGCAGCTTCGGCCAGGGGCGCTGCGGAGGGAGAGGGGGTACTGTGGTCGTCGTCTTCCGCTGCGTCCCCCCCGCTGAGGAACAAGGACAGCATGTTGACCTCGCAGCAGCAGCAGGGCGACGCGAACGGTGGTGACGGAGGGGCCTCGTTTTTGTCGGAGTGGGTCAATGCCGTTGACGAGGAGGCTTTGGCTTCTAGTCGCAGGTGACAACCGATCGACCAACCAGCCCTGACAAGCATCTTCGGTCGTGTGTGCCGGGGAGTGGGCGTTATTTGCTGGACCAAGGGATTTACTTTGGCAGGGGAAGATGGAGAGAAAATGAGAATATTCCCACGCGCGTCTATTGTTTCCTTTGTGCCTAGCTCTTTCTGCAGTGGCACCGGTGTTTATGCGTCCCCGCTGTTGTGCCTCGCGCCATTAACGGCGCGTGTGTGCTGTGTTGCAGGAGTATGTTGGCGTCGGAGCTCCTGCGGAAGGCCGTGCGTCTGCTCAAGCAGAAGCTGCAACAACGCCCCAATACCCACCTCGGTAAGCTAGCTTTCGCCTGTTCGGGAAAGTTCCTATTGGACAGCGCGGCTTCTTTTTTTTTTCAAGCATGGCTCTCGCTGTTGTTGCGTTTTGGCGACTGCGCCGCATGTGATAAAGTTATTGATGATCGTGCAGCTGCCGAACTCAGAGAACCAATCCAACACTCAGGTCAACAGCAGCAGCCGTTGCGGTAGCTACAGCAGCAGCAGTGGCAATCCAACGCCGTCCGATGTAACCAAGTGCTTGAAGTTCCGCTTTGGGCATGAATGGTGCACATCAACACACTCATTATTCCTCCTCTCATAGATGGTTCCGACGCGAGGCGTCCCGCTCACTCTTCATTCCAAAGGCTTGACATGGGACGTTGTTTCTTGTGTTCTTGCGCGGTGCGCTTCCTCCGTCGTGGGCGCCAAAACAAGATTTATTCGGCTTGATTGAAACCATTGACATTGATGTTTCTGGACGGGGGTAGACCAGTAGCGATCAGCTTTGTGCCTGGTGAGGAACGCTTGAGCGCAACAGGGCCAGAAGAAATAGTTGTTCTTTCTGGCGGCAGGTATGCACGTATTGACCGCTCTCCAACTAACCTATTTCGTGTCGCTGGTGGAGGTCGGTTGTCGCAAAGAGATTGAAGGACAACGCTCTTCGTGTTGAATCGTCTCTCAGAATCGCTCGAGCATTATCGCGGCTACCGCTGCGGTTTTGTGTTGATGTAGGCATACACGCATTTGTTGCCGTGTCATGGATATATTTCGGTTTGATTTCCTTCCATGCTTTTATTCACGCTTCCTTGTTTTCTTTTGCATCATGACTTAAACGAGGTATTTCGTGTCTCCAGTATTCTGTTGCGTCCATCTGTGGTAGTAATCTTCGGTTTGTACACGCTACCTTTGGGTGTCTTTTTCGTGCCTTGTATGCCATCGACGAACTCCTCAATGACTCTGTCCATCTCTAGTACAATATTCGATCTGAATTAACTTGGGTGCATGTGTCGTGCAAGCTTTTGCATGTTGTCGGGACGCATCCCTCAATGCCGCGCGCTTGAACTACCCACAAACGCTGATCGCTCGTCTCAGTCTTGCACCTGAAGCGGCTCAAGCTGGAGCTGTGGCGCGACGAGAGTAGCACCCCGTTCCTACGGGCGGAAGTGCGGCGGGTAACCGCCGATGTGATGGTGTACGACGATTCTTCGGGAAGCGTCGACCTGCAGGTATGTTGACAGATACCCGTAGGTGGCGCAAGATGCCACCCCCCCCCTGGACTGATTTTCGAAGGTCGATTTTTCCATCCACAGCAGAGACTGACGGTGCCAAAAATGGCGGCGTGGGAACCGTTATCTTTCCGTTAACGCATCGTTTGACTTGTACTCGTCGGGTAGTAACGGACCTTTGGTCCACAGGTGCGGTATCTTGTGTCACCTACAGTACTTATCACGAACTGCATACGTTTGATACCACACCCCTTGAACTGATTGTGGAAGCTCGATGTAGTCTGCAGCAAGAGCAGTGACCGTGCTGAAAGTGGCGGGGTTGGAACCGTCTCGTTCCATGTAGAGCTTGTCGCTTGAGTTTGGGATCATCCTGGTCCTCGAGGAATCGAGCTTTTCGAATCAGTCCGGGGAGTGTGGTGTCTTACGTATCCGAAGATATGCTGCGACGGTCGCCTGGTCGCGTGAACTCGCCATGGTTTCCCTTCCTTGCTTTGCTGGCTTTGCGGTGTACCCTCTGTAGCTCGTATCCAGCAGCACTTGTAGCCGTTCGTGTTGTGACAACTGGTTTGGGCGGTTGCTCTATTTATGTCGTTGTACACAGGGTGGTTTTCTCTTTGGTTCGCCTGCTTGTTTCGAATATCCGGCGATATTTTTGTTCTTCGTGCCCCGTGTACCTCGATATACAAGATCTTTGCAGCATAGTATGACGCTTGGCGTGGACATTAGCTCTCGTGCTCGGCCCGCTGGAGTGCCGCCTCAGCCGTGTAGCGCAGCAAAGGCCGTGTGTTGGAGGCAATGCCTGCTTTGATCACCACGATATATTCGTGCCTTCCCTATCACCAACAACAAAGCAACTTAGCCAAACAAAAACACACATCTTCAGATCTCTTCCCAAATCTACCACAACAGGAGGGCAGGGAGGGTACTGCACGATGGAGGTTACCAACCGCTGGGGCTTCTTGGCGACGTGACTTGTCGATTCGGTCCCTCCCGTGTTTTTCATGCTTCGCCAGAATTGGCGGTACCCAAACAACCCTAACCCAGCACTGCCACCACCTGTCTCTACGGTGAACCAGCAACAAGCATCAGTATCGAAACCCACCTGCGGCCTCGTCCCCTCCTTTTCCGTCTCCTGCGAAGGTGGGGTCTTTGTGGGCGAGCCAGGTGAGAGGATGCGGCTACAGCCCGGCAGAAGCGGCGGCTGCTGCTGCTGCAGCGGAGCAACCACCGCCGCCGGGACCACCCTCGACACCCCTGTCGCCGACACAAACGGGCCGCCAGGGCAAGAAGACTCGAGGCCTCGCAGCGGCAGCTACAAAAGAAGAAGGAGAAGAACGCGGCGCCTCCGACTGGTGGCGCGCCGGAGAATGGGGCCCCGCGGATGCGGCAAGAGCGGGCCAGCAGACCCTCATGGCCCTTGAGGTCGTGAAGCCGCTCCTGCGCCAGGACTTGGAGCGGCTGTCGGACCAGGCGAGTCGCGCGGGCGAGAAGCATTTCGTTCTTGTTTCGTGCGTCTAAATCTTCGTGAATTGTGTTCCCCTGATGTTTTATCTGGGTGAATTGCCGGGGGCCGAGATATTTTCAAGTGTGAAGCCTGGGACTCTGCGCTGGTTTTGTTGGCGTCCGTCTGCTGTCTGGTTGTGAACGGAGACAACGGCAGCTAAGTACGACCAAAGCTCACCAGGACTTGTTGGAGGAGGCGACCGACTAATGACATGTTCAATGGTTCCGGCAGAACAATCCCCCCCTCCCTGCGGGAAGTGATTTCGATAGGACACACAGGACGGGGAAAACGACTTCGAGCCTCCTCTAGCAAAGTGGGAAGAAGCGATTGGTCCTTGGTGATTGTTCCTGTTGGGAACAAATGCTCCGTCCTCTCGAGAAAGCGTGGTCAATGTTCTGACAAGTTATGTGCTTATCACATGCCAAACATGAGTGCGCCCCCCCCCCAAAAAAAAAAAAAAAAATTTCCAACTCCGC